AGGCACCCTGTGGAAACAGCCTCAGCTTTTTTTTTTTTTCCCTCCAATCTTTTCCTTTCTGCCACCCTTCCCCACGAGAACAGCTAATGTATGACAGTTTGTCATTAACTGTAGGAACTAAACAACAGGCCCTTTTAGCCTCGTTTATTCTTTCCACCTGAAGTTTCTTTGCTTCAAGTATTCTCAGGCCACCTCCTCGGGAATTGGGCTCTTTGTCGGTAGAAAGAGTAGTTGTCCACAACCTAAATACTTCCCCACTAATCACATGTGACATCCGCCTCCAAGACCCGATGGTGTTACTTAAGGCGGAATTGGCACCTCTTTCTACAGGGTGGCATGGTCAAGTGAGGGGACACTCCCTGTCATCCTGGTGCCTCTCAGGACTGCCCTGTGATGGGTGGCCCTGTCCCAGGGACCTTGCCTTCTGCCCTCCCCCTTTCCCTGTCTTTGGTGACTTCCCTGTCTTTGTCTCTGCAATTGTGGTTCCCAGGGTTCAGAGCTGACCATGCAAATGTGGTTAGCAATACAGAATTCCCTTCCCACCGTGCTACAGTTAAAATCTGTGTGCTAAGGAGAGAAGAGAGTTGAGAGCACCTATAACAGAATAATATAGACACATCCATCCATCGAATGAGCACTTTAAACTGTGTTTAAAGTCATGCTATTAATACATTAGGTGTTGTAATTTAGTTTTATTCTTATTCATAGATTTATTATAAAGTGAAATTACTTTACCTGTTTGACTTTTTTTTTCTAGAGACTCCAATTTAAATGGGGAGAAAAACAACAATGCAGCTCTTTCCACCCCACCCCGCTTTTTTTGTGTTTTTTTTGCGGACAGAACATATAAAAGAACAGAATGGATAAGGATTTGCAAATATATAATTTACAGCTTGATCCAAAATAATAATATAATTATTTAATGTAAGCAATTAGTGTCCCGATTTTTAAGCAGAGTAGTAAACAATTTATTGTGTAATTCTTTACTTTTTACAGTGAGTTTTCGCATAACACTCTTGCAGTCAAACAGCCTTGTATTACTACTACCCCATTTTTGTGTGAGTAGACAAAGGCTCAGGAAATTAAATGCCTTGATTGCAGTCACTTTCCTAGGAAGTGGAGAAAGAAATGACCCTTAGATCTTAAAGGGATGCTAAAACAACCATTACAACATAAACAATAAACCCCACGTGATAATGTAAAACACCAACAAAGAAGGCATCTGTTTTCATTTTGTCCTCGACATCATTTGAATTTCACCATTTGGATATCTGAAGTGTGTGTGTGTGTGTGTGTGTATGTGATCACACAGGGACACATACACACATGCAGGGACACTATTTTGCATGAATAATAATAGTGGTCAACATTTTCAACTTAATGAACCAAGTCTCTCACATGATGCTAAGTATGTCACATGCATTAACTGTTTTATCCTCAAAACTCTCCTTGTCACACTATCTCAGTGAGTGAATTGACACTAAGAAAGATGAAGAAACATCCCTAAAGTGACACAGTAGGTCAGTGGTAGACAGGCCTTTTAAAAAACTTCTCTTGCTCACATTCCTAGCCACCCCTACGTTCCAGTTCTGGTAATAGGCATTTCTATGGGAGCCTCACAAAGGCCCTACCAGTTGGACGTTATTGTCCCCCTTTTTACAAATGAGGAAATTCAGAGATTAAATAACCTGCTGAAGAGCCCTTGACTCACCATTGGTGATCAGGAATTTCTCCCAAGTCTGATACCGAATCCCTCGATTGGTCCACACCCCAGACCCCTCAGAACTTCACTCTAGATTAGGTGGGGCAGTGTTTGGGAGGTGAAGACATTCCTGTGTCAGTCATAACACACGAAGAGACCATTGGGAAAGGTGTGTCATGTGCCGCTGACTCTGATGCCCGTGGGTCCTCTGCTTCCAGGAGCTCCGGAACGCTCAGAGTGAGCAGCTTATGGGCATCCGCCGAGAAGAAGAGATGGAAATGTCGGATGATGAGAACTGTGACAGCCCTACTAAAAAAATGAGAGTTGATGAATCAGGTAACGTGGATAACTGCCACATCCCTGTGAGATACCTTAATGATCTTCCTAATCTTAGATGGGGCATACAGATTGAGAAATGGCCACATAACTCACTTTTATTTGAGTTAAACTAAACTTTCATCTTTGTCTGACTCTGTCTTGTATTAATAGAACTTGAAATTCCTTCTTGGGAACATAATGATTTAAATTGTTCCAGTTGTTTCTCTGTATGTGGGTCTGGGGCCACACTTATTTTCAGGGATATTTGCCTGTTCCCATAAAAATCCTTTTCCACAGTGTGATAGCCACCTCTGATGCTGAAATACAGATAAAATTTGGTTTCAGTCAGTGTACTTCTTACATGGGAAATGTTTAATCCCTAAAGAAGCTTTCTAGCCTCTGAAGCAATGTGCTGGAGAATTAGACTGCTTTCCAATAAATTTTAGTTCCTAACCTGTAATCAAAGGGATGGTCCCATTTGGTACCAAGAAAGGGGCATCAATCCTTGAGTTACAAAAGGGAGAGAAACTTAAAGAGAACCTTGATTGATATTCTCTGCCTAATCTGAGATGCTGATTTAAAACTCTCTTCTCAAATTGTATGTAATTCCCTTGATGTTGTAAAAGCAAGCAGGAGGAGTGCTCACTCAAACGTAGGAGGCACCAAGGGAGACTGCTTGTCTGAGGGGAAGAGTGTTTCCTAAAGGGCCTGGGAACAACCACAGTCGCCACCTTTGCCAAAAAGGGAATAAAACACTCACCTCTCCCAGGCCTTTTCGGGTGACCAGGAACAGAGGATCTTTGCTAGTTTGGTTAGTAGAAGCCAAAATCAAGATTCCAAAATGGTCAAGTCATCAAGATTACAGCGCGGTCAGTTAGGTTGACCGGTCAGTTCCACATCTTGGCTGTCGTGAATAGTGCTGCTATGAACATAGGGGTGCATGTTTCTCTTTGAATTATAGTTTTGCCCGGATATATGCCCAAGAGTGGGATTGCTGGATCATATGGTAATTCCATTTTCAGTTTTCTGAGGAACCTCCGTACTATTTTCCATAGTGGCTGCACCAACTTACGTTCCCACCAACAGTGTAGGAGGGTTCCCTTTTCTCCACATCCTCTCTAGCATTTGTTATTTGTAGATTTATTGATGATGGCCATTCTGACCCGTGTGAGGTGGTACCTCATTATAGTTTTGATTTGCGTCTCTCTAATAATTAGTGATGTTGAGCATCTTTTCATGTGCCTACTGGCCGTCTGTATTTCTTCTTTGGAGAAATGTCTATTAAGGTCTTCTGCTCATTTTTCAATTGCGTTGTTTGTTGTTGTTGTTGTTGAGCTGTATGAGCTATTTGTATATTTTGGAGATTAAGCCCTGGTCAGTCGCATCAGTTGCAAATATTTTCTCCCATTCCATAGGTTGTCTTTTCTTTCTTTTTTTTTTATGGTTCCCTCTGCTGTGCAAAAGCTTGTAAGTTTGATTAGGTCCCACTTGTTTATCTTCGTTTTTATTTCTATTGCTTTGGGAGACTGAGCTAAGAAAACACTGGTACAATTTATGTCAGAAAATGTTTTGCCTGTGTTCTCTCCTAGGAGTTTTAGAGTGTCATGTCTTATATTTAAGTCTTTAAGCCATTTTGAGTTTATTTTTGTGTATGGTGTGAGGGTGTGTTCTAACTTCATTGATTTACATGCAGCTGTCCAGCCTTCCCAGCACCACTTGCTGAAGAGACTGTCTTTTCCCATTTTATATTCTTGCGTCCTTTGTCAAAGATTAATTGACTGTAGGTGTGTGGGTTTGTTTCTGGGCTCTCCATACTGTTCCACTGATCTGTACGTTTGTTTTTGTACCAATACCACGCTGTTTTGATTACTGTAGCTTTGTAGTATTGTCTGAAGTCTGGGAGAGTTATGCCTCCTGGAAACAACCTAAATGTCCATTGACAGATGAATGGATAAAGAAGATGTGGTATATGTATACAATGGAATACTACTCAGCCATAAAAAAAGAACAAAATAATACCATTTGCAGCAATATGGATGCAGCTAGAGATTATCATACTAAGTGAAGTAAGTGACAAAGAGAAAGACAAATGCCGTATGATATCACTTATATGTGGAATCTAAAATATGGCACAATTGAACCTATCTACAAAACAGAAACAGACTCCCAAATGTAGAGATCAGACCTGTGGTTGCCAAGGGGGAAGAGAGGAGGGGGAGGGATGGACTGGGAGTTTGGGGTTTACAGATGCAAACTATTGCATTTAGAATGGATAAACAACAAGGTCCTAGTGTAGAACACAGGGAACTATATCCCGTCTCTTGGGATAAACCATAATGGAAAAGGATATATATAAAAAAGAAGGTCTGTATGTGTATAACTGAGTCACTTTGCTGTACAGCAGAGATTGGCACAGCACTGTGAATCACCTCTACTTCAATAAACAAATAAATAGCGGTCAGAATGCTCTGTTTTTCCAGGGCTTTAGAAGAGAATGCCAGAAGCATAAGGTGATCACAAGAAAAAGCTCCTGCATCCAGACGTATACAGAGGGGAGTTTCATTTCCCTAGAACAGTGGTTCTGAAAAGCATGGTCCCCAGTCCAGCAATGTTAGCATCACCTAGGAACTTATTCGTAATGTAAATTCTCGGGGGTGCTACTCGAGACCTACTAAATCAGACTCGAGAGGATGGGGGAGGGGAGGATGTGAGATTCAGAATCTGTGATTTAAAGCCTTCGGTGGAATCCTGATGCAGGCTAAAGTTTGAGAACCACTGCCTTAGAAAATTTCCCTTTCATCCTCAAATTCCGTTCATTTGAATCTTTTAGAAGCTTAGCATAAAAGCAGGCACCACACCACTATTTTTTGAAGCCGTATATCCTTTGTCTGAAAAATGAACCGAGCATTTATGTGTCAATGTGTGTCACTTATTAAACTGATATCAGCACTGCTCGATTATTGGGTTTGGATTTGCTTATATTTGAGGAAACCACCTTCCACGCAGCGTTTCTATTCTGCAGACCTTCATATATCAGAAGAAGAAAGTGAGTTTTGGGTGTGATTTTTCTTAAATTCAAGGAGCTCTTCCAATAAATAAATAAATAAATTGTTTCCTCAAGGAAAGCTTTCATCATTTTTTTCATCAGAGTTTTTCAGGGCATCTCTGCTTTTCTGATTATGAAGAATACTTCCTTGTACTTCTGCTGTTTGCCACGTATAGTAATTCACAGTGTGTCTTGGGCTAGATGAGGGGCAAGTTTACACAAAACCTGGATCCTTAACATCTTTATAGGGTAGGTGTAGAATGGATTCAATCAGGAATTCTGACTTGAACCTGTGGCTTTTTTCCCCTTGGGGGGGAGTGGCATTTCTTTTCAAACAACCTGTCAATTTCTCAAGTAAGAATTATGTATCATTTCATAGCTTGCTTGGGATAAGACAAAAATAATAATGACTCCAGAATAGAAATAAGCCACAGAGGAGATCTTACAGACCATGGCAGCAAGCATATACCTGCAGGACTGGCCCCTGATCTGTGCTCCGGAAGAATCCGCAGGGATACCAAGGACCTCTCCTCTCAGTGAGGACCACAGGGGTCCTCCCTGGAAGTTCTACTGAAGAGCCTTCTTCCCAGACCTCTGTGGTTTTCCTCCCAGGCATCTGATAAGAGCCTGAAGTAGGACTTGAACTTGCAGAACTTTCTCCAGGCTCACTCCTTGGTCAGCAGAATTAATGAACACGATACAGTGGGTGTTCCACACCAGACCGAGGGCAGAGATGAAAGAACCGGTGTTCAAATGCCAGGCCCTGAGGAGTTCAAAGTCTTCTTTGTGCTTTTTGAAATGAGAGGGACCCGGAGAATGCGGTGTGGTTTATGAGGAAAGCGCAAGACTGATTGGAGGGAAGGGAAAGCAGCTGACCTTCCTTATTCCGCTGGGCCCTCAAGATCCTGCCAAAAGGCAGGTAGGTGGTGGTGATTCTTTCAGCCGTGCATATTCGGGGTGGGGGCGGGGGCGCAGCCTAACAGCAAGAATCCCATCTTGTCTTTTGACCAAGCTTCAGACAAGATCGTGTGAACTGCTGAAAGGGGGGACTGAGGCCCTACAGCCTGAGGGAAACAGGCCTTCCAGCGGCATCTCCTTAGGTGACAGGCCACTCGTGTTTTTTTAGGTACAAATTTGCATGTGTTAACCTAGTCACCTCCAAGCAGGCCTCTGAAAACAAAGCGCTCTACTGAACGGACAGAGGAATTGCCAGACCTGAAATAGAAGTAAACTTCTCCATCCTTTAAGGAATCCCTGCCCCCTCCTTTTCTGCCAAAACAATGAGACCTTGCCTCGGGCAGCAGCTGACCCAGGAATTCTTGGAAATCCTGGGGGATAATACCCTCTGGCCTGCCCTGCCCTCCATCTTCCTCCTAGAACAAAAACCTGCGCAGGTTTTATTGCATTTCTGAGGGGGAGGTGGAGAGAATTGACTTTGGTTTTCAGAAAAAGCAAGGTTTATTATGTGAGGACTTGTATGAGACCTTGGGTTCAATTTTTTCTTTTTTCTTTTTTTTTTGCGGTACGGGGGCATCTCACTGCCGTGGCCTCTCCCGTTGCGGAGCACAGGCTCCGGACGCACAGGCTCAGCGGCCATGGCTCACGGGCCCAGCCGCTCCGTGGCATGTGGGATCCTCCCAGACTGGGCCACGAACCCGTGTCCCCTGCATCAGCAGGCAGACTCTCAACCACTGTGCCACCAGGGAAGCCCTCAATTTTTTTTTTTTTAATCAAAGTTTTTCAGGGCACCTCTGCTTTTCTGATTATGAAGAATACTTCCTTGTACTTTTGCTGTTTACCACGTATAGTAATTTACAGTGTGTCTTTGGCCAGAGTTCCGCCAGACCGGCTGTCACTTCCACATCCCTCTGGGCGGCGGGCCAGTCACTGCTGCTCAGCCGGTGACTCTTAAAGGGGAAAAAGGAGTTTGCTGGAGCCAAACTAAGATGCTGATAAAAATGAAAATGAGTTT